ACACAAGCCCATTAGAACATTTATCCCACGGAATGCCGGGTACTCTGCAGGCTACTGCCTGACCTCCTGGGGGCAGACACCTGTTGTAGTCCACTCTACTCGGTGACGATGGGCTGTGGGCTGGATAAGTGGGTGAGTGAGCAAATCACAGGGTATGTGGCCAGGCCACGGCCACTCAGCTCGCCTGAGGTTTCCTGATAGGCAGCGTCATGGCACAGTCCCAGAGCAGACGTGCAGAGGGCCTCACAAGTCAGCCCCCTTTCAAGGAGTGAAGATCACGTCCCACTCGCTTTGATGGTTCCTCCCAGGATTCCTGGGAAGTGCAGCCCTGCTTGTCCTGAGATATCAGTGAGGGCTGGCGGGTTCCATCAAATATCATATGTCACAGAAAATGTCAGCAGTCAATGATTCATTTGTACCAGGAACACAAGTATGGACGTTATCATAATGTACACAGCAAGGCTACAAGTGACCGCCCTGGGGCTCACAGCAGAAGAGCCGTGGCCCTGGACCATATGTCAGGAAAGGCCCAGGTGAGCTGAGCCCCGCCCAGCTAGCCACACAGCCAAGCGGCCCTCGTGAGTGAAAAGGAGGCGGTGGCTTCTGCAGCCAGAGTGCCAGCTCTACAACTGACCAGCTGTGTGACCTTGGGCAAATTACTTCAATTCTTTGAGCTGTGTCTCCTCCTCTGTAACAGTAACAGCCCCACCTCCTAGGACTGTTATGAGGATAAAGGGAGTTAACACTGAGAGCGTCCTCTCATGTGGGATGCACTAATAAACCCCAGATGCTATTATTGTAGTTGCCCTCTGTATCAGCCAGGGTCCAATCTGTCCACCCAGGAGAGGTGCTGTGAGACTCACCGGTCCCAGGTAATAAAACCTGGGGACACAGAAGGTCCTAATTGCCCCCCATCCTGAAGCTACGCCTGACAGCTAACAGCAGCTATAGGGCGACCGGAACACCTCTACCGGGAGCTGAGGCTGGAAGCGGGGACTTCGCATGTACCGCTAACACCTGACTTAAGCATGTAGGGACAGTTCAAAGCTCTCCAGCACGTAGAGGAGGAGGCACTGAAAGGACAGAGCTTCAGCCCCTGGAGAGGACGTCTGGTATACCGAGGCTTCTCTCTACAAACTACAGGGTGCCAGAGCAGTGGGGAGACCCTTGCAATGACCACCCCCAGTGAGAACCCCAGGGCTCTGGCACAGCGCCCTGAGCCCGCCCTTGCTCCCGGGCACACCAGAAGCCTGGGCACTGCCATTTCGGCCATTCTTCACAACTTCCCCTCCAGCACCCTCCTCTCCAACCTCCACTCCTGCTTGCCAGCTCTGCCCCTCAACGGCCCTGAATCCAACAGGCGCCCAGCTCTGACGGAGGGCCTAGCACACAGCAGCCCTCAGTAAACACTGTTAAAGCTGTGACCGTATCACATTCACCTCACAAGCCTGACACATGCCAGGCACCCTGCTGAGTGCTGGGGAGTCATACGCGGGTGAACAAGACAGACCCAGCCCCTACCCTTACAGGGTCTGTGGTCCCCAGGAAGGCAGATGGGGTGCTACGGGGACAAGCAGCAGAAGCACCTACTCTGGCCTGAAGGCCAGGGAAAGGCAAGTAGACATGAGGCTGGCAAATAAGGGGAAAGTGTTCCAGGCCGAGGTAAGAATCTGGGCCAAGGCCAGGAACACAGGGTGGCCAGAGCTGAGACCACAGGGAGAGGCAAGGCCCCAGGAGGGGTCCTTTCAAGCCATGCTAATTAGCTGATATGTTAAGGACATAGAAGCCCTTGAAAAGTTAAGCAAGAGAGTGAGTAATCAGATTTGCCCTCTAGAAAGATCCTACAGCAGCTTCCAAGAGGATGGGAGGAGAGGAAGATGAAGGCGGAGCAACTCGCTAGGGGCCGGGAGCAAGAATCCACCTACACCATGACCATGGCCTGAAAACAGAGCCAGCAGCAAAATAGAGAGTAACTGCACCCCTGATTTTGGATGGCATGTGGCTGGAATACAGACTACACTTCCAAGACTCCCTTGCGGTCGTTGTGGCCACGTGGCCGATGGGGTTTAAGTGGAAGGCATGTGTGCAAGTTCCAAGAAGTGCCCCAAAAGAGAACGAGAGTGCCCTTCTTCGCCCTGCCCTTCTGCCTTTCTACTGGCTGGAAAGGTGGCTGTGATGGCTGGCTCCGGGATCACGCAGTGAATTAGAGACTGGAGGCCATGCATGGTGGGGCAACCACACAGCAGGAGCCCGGGCTCCTGAGGACTCTGAGGAGCACAGCTGTCACACCAGCCCTACCTGCCATGGCTGTCACTTAGGAGAAAACTTAAATTCGGTCCTGTTTAGCCACTATCATGTTGGGCTTTCTATTGCTTAAGCTGAACCTAATTGTCCCCGATTGAGAAGAAGCTGACTCAAGATATGCAGAGGGTGCAAAACAATGTATACACATTTTAAGAAAGGTAAACTGTATTAATTGTAATACTCAATATATACCAATAACAAAAGATGAATACAAGTCACGTTTGACTTCTTCTGCAATTACAAGAGGTGCTCAAAGGGGTTCCCATCAGCGTTCGGACACTTCTGATGACGGCAAACTACTGCTTGAACATCGGTAACATCGCTTACAATGTGTATACATTTTTTTGGCACCCCCAGGACCAGGGAGGAGAACCTGACAGAGCTCGGGAAGGACCCAGATCTGCGGGTGAGGGAGACTAAGGACTCAAGGATCACCCCTGGGTGTCTGGATTGCACAACCCCGTAGATGGACAGTGATGCCATTTGCTGACGTAGACGTGCTTGAGTGGGAGCAGGTTAGAGGGAAGGGCATGACTCCAGAGCCCGGTGAGGAATGTCAGGAGTTCCGAGAAGAGATATGAGCTTAGCTTGAAACCCCACCCAATGATGCTCCTTATCCTGTCTAAAAACATGGAGATAACAGAGTAGCACAGAAAGAGAAATGGATGAGAAACCAGAAGACACAGACTCTGCTTCTGCACTGCTTCCTGTGCAACCCTGCATGAATCACTTCTCATCCCTGAGCCTCAGTTTTCTCATTCATAAAATGGGATACTGCCTTCCTTGCTTACCTCAACAGGTCACTGGAGGATGTGGTATAATAATATACCTTATGTGAAAGTACTGTCGACTATAAGGTGCCACCCAATCAAGGGTCAGTGGTAGTACAGGCGTGGTTAATAAACCGTTGACAAAGGGTTTAACCCCCTGGTACGGAAGCCTGCCCACAGTAGGGCTCAAGCTTCCTGAGACAAATCTGAAATCCTGTCCAGGGATATTTACAACTGACAGGACTTGGTGGTGATGTGCATGTGGAGGGTATGGAGCCCCCAGGGCAGGGCGCCTCAAACGTAAGGATGAGTGACCCTCTCAGGAGTGGACCCACTGCCCTGGTCAGCTGTGCATTCCAGAACTGCAGCCCTCAGCTGCAGGCCTATGGAAGGGTCCTGGGGCTGCAGGTGGAGGCCTGTCCTGTCCGGAACAGGGCAAGCAAGAGGGCTGTCAGCTCAGGCCCATCTGCGCCCAGTCTGGACTAGTCCTGCTGTGTTAAAACTGGCCATTGGAATGTGTTCTTTGCCCAACTGCTTCCGTTTCCCTGTGAAGCCAGGCCCTGAATTCTCACCCGATGGCCTGGGGTCCTGATACCCTGCCTCGCTCTTCTCCTGATGGCTGGACCCTGAGCCTCCAGTTACCACTTTCTGAGATTCCTGCTGCCACACCTCCTCAGTCAGAATGATCCTGAGGTTCCCTCCAGCCCGACTTGTCACCAAAGCCCTGATGCACCCAGGACCCAGGCAGAGCCATCTGCCTGCAGGTTCCCTCCTCCTGCCTCTGAAGGTCTGAAACAACCTTCTCCACTTTGTTCTGCCAGTTACACTCCTGCCCACTCTTCCAGACACAGAGGAGCCCGCCAGGAAGTGATCACCTCTTTCAGTGGGTTCCACCTCTGTCACAGCACTCCTCACAGGGGACTGCCTGGTTTGCAGGTGGCCTCCCCCAAGGACTGCACGCTCCTTAAAGGCACAGAGCATGTTTTGTCATCTCACAGCACCAAGTGAGCCTGGCCTGAGACCCAAGACTCCAGAGACACTGGAGGTGCTCAGTGCATGCTGGCTGGCTGGATGGATGACGGGATAGCCAGGTGGATGAACAAATGGAAAAGGGGGCTGTTGGTACTGGCCCAATTCAACACCAGTCTGCAGGACCCAGGCTCCTCTGGACCCTGCATTTTGGGTCCCTGGCCACTTCTCTCCCCTTTTCCCAACAGCCCTGCAACTGGCTTCCTACCCTTTACTTCTAGCCCATAGGAGATCCTGAGCAGTGACAGCTGTCCACCCCTTAAAGGCTCCCTGAACACACCTTGCCAGCCCCTACAAGAACGATCATGCTTTTAAAGATCCAGAGCTGCAGGAGATTCCTGGGCCTTACTGGACTGACCCTTCTGAGCTTCCCTGACTTTCTGCCTTCCCTCCATCTGCATGGGTCAAGCCTTGCCCCTGCTGCCGGGACCCTGATGGGCCAGGGGCGGAGTCTAGGAAACCCCTCCCTCCAGTCAAAAGCAGTCCCCTCTCCCAACCCTCTCCTGACCCCTCAGATGTCAACCCAAAGAAGCTGCTTCTCAGTCAAGGAACCTCCAGTCCAAGACATGGAAAGAGTCGAAATACAGATGTGTGTGTCGCAGCTGACCATCACCCACCGGAATCCACTCTGTGAGTTCTTGGGGTTGACCAGGACGCAGTCCCAGGCGCGGCCAGAAGCGTTCTGGAACAGGATCAGCTGCCCTTCCTCCTGAACCCGGGCACTCGTGGTGTAGTCGGCCAGAGCCACTTCCTTCACCCGGAACGGGTTAGAGAACAAGGTGGAGACGCTACTGAGGGTGTTGACCAGGCGGCCGAAGAACTGCATCTTCTGCGGGGCTGGTGGGGAGGCCCCACCACCTTCCCCCTCAGTCTGGAAGAAAAAGGGGTCTCTGGTCAGCTGGGCTCGGTCTCCCATGCCCACCTCACCCTGTGCAGTGGTTTCCTGCCAAGGCACCCAGATCGCTCCCCACCAGCGCAGTTCCCGACTCTGGGCCTGGAGGGACCTGAGGAGGGGAAAGAGAGAGAGATGGCACTGAGTGGGAGGCAGGGCCTGATGGGAACTCAGAGCTGCCACTGTGCGCAGGTGGCCAGACTGCCCTGCTCCCTGACTCAGTTTCCTCATCTGTAGTGCGGAGCTGCACTGGTCAAAGGGCGTGTTCCAGGTGATCCTGCCCTGGGCAAAGGAAGGGGTTCTCCCTATGGAAGGTGTAGCCTCGACTTTTTGGAACTCAAAGAGCTTGGTAGGGGTCATCTCAACTCCACAAACAAAACCAGTGTCCCTCTCCACTAGAAGCCACAAGGAAACCAGGATCATCTCACACTCCATCAGGGGCAGGGGAACTGTAAGCATTTGTCTAAAGCCTTTGATACCTGCTACACTGGTTTTCCAAGAAGCTCTGAGGGAACCCAAAACCGAGCTCCGTGGAAATGAGTATGAATGGAAAAGACTAGGGACAGTGAACACGTGTTTGGGTGGAAATGTTACATTTCATATTCCTAGGGTCACAGTTTCTGCTATGGAAACTGTCCCCAGTTTGATGATAGAATTAGACTCTTGTTGCTTCCTGGGTTCTGAGAAAGCACGCTGCCTTCCCAAGGCAGTGCCACCAAAGTCAGTTGACAATGAGCTGGAGGCCACCTTCTGCCTCTGTGCCAGAACGTCACGTGCAAAAGAGCAGGTCAGACACTGAGGACAAAGAGTGGAAGTGTGGGCACCCTGGGGAGAGTGGACATCTGGGTGGACGCCAGTCACACCCTTGTCCATGTGTAGAGGATCAGCTGTGGGGATAAAAGGAACAAGAGGCTTCATTTAATCATCTAAACAGAGAGTAAGGGTCGATAATGATAATTACATCAGGAGATGTTTACTGAGTGCTAATGAGGCAGTAGGCCCTGAGCTAAGCACATCACATCACCAGCTCATTTAATTCTCCCCAAACCATGAGGCAGATGCACTGAGCACACAGTACAGCTCTGGTGCAAAACTGTGTTCAAACCCCAGCCTCACCACTTACCAGCTGTGTGGCCTTGGGCAAGTTACTTAACCTCTCTGATTCTCAGTTTCCTCATCTATTAAATGGGGACCATAACAGTACCTAATAATGGAACACGGCAGACAGTAAATGTTCAATAAACATTAGCTCTCTTTACTTCAATCCCCCCGCTTTTACAGAGGCTCAGAGAACCACTCCGAAGCTTTGTAATGTCCTTCTTTTTGTTAGTAGTAAGATGTGGTGTGAGCAGACCATGAGCCTTGTTCTCCACCTAGAAAAGGAGGACCATGCTCCCCTCTCGTGTGTTGTGAGGATGAAATGAGAACATTTGTGAGAATGTTCAGACCTGTGTCAAGTTCCTTCTTTCTTCTGCTCTCAGGAACTGTAAGGACAGAGGAGCTGAGGTGCCTACACCCCTTCCCATAGCCAGGGGGAAGGGGAGGGACCCCAAGGGAAGGTATGGAAATCGGTCCCAGGAAGAGAACCTCCCAAAAGGGGAGACAGGTATGCATCTCAATGTGCACTCTAATGACTTCTGTTTTGACATAGAAATATTGGGTTGTCGGAAAAGTCATGACGTATTTTTTCTATGTATTTCGTTGCAAAAATGTGTCATGACTTTTCCAACAGCCCAATAGAGGCAACTTCAATCCCCAACATTAGGGGAATTGTAAGTGATGATACGCTCACCCCAGAGACAGCCTGTGGTCATGAAGAGTGTGACTGTGACGATGGCTAACAACTCAGGAAAAGCATGCGGCATTCCGTTACGGGCTGAGTCGCATGGAGTCCATGGCGCTCCCTGTGTTGTTCGTGGGCTGCAAGCACACCTGTGGGGCCCCTGCATCCCGCGCAGCCTCTCCCCATTGGTCCCACCTTGTCAGCTCCAAGCCACGCTCGATTCCAGAAAGCAATGCTGTTTCGTACCTCCTGGCCTGTCCACGACGACTTGTGTGCCTGGAATGTCCTTCCTCGCCTTTTCTGTCTGGAAAAGCCCTGATCCTCTACGCTTCCTAATACTGATCACACTAAACACTCACGGGCCTTTCTGCGCTCTGGCCCTGCTCCAAGAGTTTACATATATTAATCATTTTATCTGCACCACCACTCTAGCTCTGTAAAGCTGTTACTATTGTTATCCTCATTTTACACATGAGAAAATCGAGGAACAGAGAGTCAAGTCATATGCCCAAGGTCACACAGCTAGTAGGTAGAGGAGTAAGGATGGGCGCCCAGGTGGGCTGGCTCTGGAGTCTGAGCTTCTTAAAGGCAGGTGCTGCACCTCGAGCACGAAGCTTGGCACCCAGAAAGCCTGTTAAAGCAGTTTACAAATTTAACTGAGTAAAAATTATACAAGGAAGAAAGAAAGGAAGGAAGGAAAGAAGGAAAGAAGGAAGGAAGGAAGGAAGGAAGGAAGGAAGGAAGGAAGGAAGGAAGGAAGGAAGGAAGGAAGAGAGGGAGGGAGGGCAGGCTGATGGGAGGGAGGCTGGCTGATAGAAAACATACCAAAATACTAAGAGTAGATGAGTGTATTGGGTTTATGGGCAATTTTTTTTTCCTTATTTTCCAAATAGTATGGAAAATGGCTATATTTTTTAAAGGAAGTAGGAAGACAGGCTGAGTCCTTGGAGCCTGCAGCTGCGACTATGGGGGGCCCCGAGGGGGTCAGGCCTGGCTTAGAGAAGCAGCCCAGAGGCTTCCAAGAGGGCAGGCTGGCTGCACGGAGGAGGGCGCTCACAGGAAGCGGGGCAGTCAGGGGCGCCCAGCACCAGGGCGCCCACTCGGGTTAAGCGGAGGAGAGTCAGCGCGGGCGGTCCAGCTGGGCCCCAGAGGAGACACCCTCCTCAGGTCCTGGGCTGGCGGCGGGGGTCCCTCCCGCACGCGGACAGCAGCCTGGCCGCTGAAAGGACACACTGGCTCTCTTCCCGCCTTCCAGGCTGGGTGTGAGGATGAAATGACACAATATAGGGAAAGTGTCCAGTATGCTGGCCAACTGCGGGCACACAGTGGCCATTGTTGTCATGAGGTGGAAGAAAGGAAATGAAAACCACCAGGCCACATCCTGGAACAATCGTAACAGGCCAACCGGGAAAGTGGCAAGCGTGGAGTAAAGAGCACATGCTTGAGCTTCCTTCTACTTTCTGTCACCTTCCTCCTGTCCCCGCCACCTATGACCTCAAAGCCCAGGGCTTTTTCCACACAGCTGCAGGGGGAGGACGCTGGGTGGGGGAGCGGGCTGCCATTCCAAACCTGTAAGGTCCCTTCCAGCCAGCGACTCCTTCCCTGCACAGCCCCCATCACCCCACTTCCTCTCCCTTCTCACAGCTGCTTGCCCTCTGACCTCCCCACTGTCAACATTTGCTTTCACCTACTGACAGCTATGTTTTATCACTCCTCACCCGGGCTTGCTCCCTGCATCTAGGTGATGCCAGGGTCATCTGACAGGGACCACAGGCTCCTGGGCACCCGAGGCTGCGTCAAGCAGCTCGCTCAAATGCCACAAGTAGTAAGACACAAACCTAAGAGCTTCTGTGGTGATGGTAATGGTGACAGTTCTGCCTCTACTCCAGGCAATTTCCAGGCATCAGTTTTGTCTCTTCTACAGGGAGGCTGGATATTTGGGGCCTGTTTTCTTTAGTTTTGCTCCCCTATCTCCTGTCGAAGGCCCAGTTTGCCTGCTTGGTTCCTTCAGGGAAGACTTCCAGGGGCTTCTGGGTGTGAGGCGGCCCTGGAAGAGCTGTCAGACAGGAAGGAGAAGCAATATTGTGCCCATTTCAGAGATAAAGAAACTGAGGCCCGAGAGGCCTTAAACTGTGGGTATTCAAAGGGCAAATTAAGAGGGACATGTTGATATCCATCCAAAAAGAAAACACACAAATAAAAAAAAAACCTTACTGGGATCAGAGGACGATTGGAACCAATAGGTAGAATTTTGGGTGAATGCCCTGGAAGTAGCCAATTGGGTTCATAAAATGAGTAGTCTCAGAGGGACCCAAGCCCAGTCCCTGTCTCGAAAAATGCAGAGTCCCTTGGTGAGAAGAGTTGGGGAAGGATAGCTGGAGGAGGTGACTCTTGAGCTGAACTTTGAAGTGGGGACAAAGTAGAGGCCTTCTCAGCAGACAGAGCTGACAACAATGTATGGATAGGTATGGGGACAGGAGTCTGTGTGACCCATCCGGGAATGAGCATTTTCATTGGGACTGGGCAGCACGGGGCGCAGGGCGGGGGGTGGGGCGATGGTTACTGCTGCAGTCAACATGAATACTGGTCACCATGGAGCCATTTGTCCAGCACCCGTTATGCCAGCCGCCTTGCTCATAACCACCCTATGAAGTGGGTTCTTTATCCCTCGTTTACAGAAGAGGAGACAAGCTCGAGAAGCACAGGAGAGGAAGGGAAGCACTTGGGTGGTTAGTTCCAAATATCCGGTTCCTCCTCAGCCATGAATTCCCTGAAGGATCCTAGTAGGTCTCAGGCAAGAGAGGAGGTACAAAGCACCAGGCCCTGGGCCCGCCCTCTCTCCTCCTACTCCGGACAGTTATGTGTGAAAACTGCTCTTCCCGAATGAAAGGGGACACTTCCTAACCTGTCCGACCTGGAACGCCTTCCCCCATTCCTGCCAGAGCCTCTGAACGCTCAGAGCACTAGATCGGCCCTCCTGCAACGCTCACTCTCCCTTCCAGCTCACACTATAGCCCTGTCCATACATACACACCATCACAGCCAGGTCCACCCCATCCATCTCACATCCCCTCTGTGCAAATCGGACTCCCTGCTTCCACGTGTCCAGTGGCTCCCCGTCACCTTCCAGTGAAAGCTTCCACGTGAACTGGCCCGGCCTACCCCTCCAGCCACCGACACCTCCTGGAGCACGCCACACTCGGGCCTCAGTGTCCCCGCACGCATGCTCCCCTGTCCCTCGCCCATCCTCCCTGTCTCGGAGGATGCTCTCAGAAAAGGACTGGGAGCCAAATGACTGACTCTTCTTGTCCTTCAAGACTCGGTTCACATGCCACCTCCTCTAAGAACCATACACTCTGTCTCCGCTCCTCTCAGCCCTGGCATCCATGCCCACTTCTCTGTACCCCACACTGCCCAGCGCACACCCCCACTGCAGCACTTGTGACTGTGAGGATGTAGCTGAGGGTCTGAGCTGCCTGCCCGCCCCCCTTTTACTTGTTCATCCAAGCACCTAGCATGCTGATCCTGACTTGCAGAGGGTAGTTAATAGATGTTTGGTGAATGAATGCATGAAAACAAGTGAATGCGCCAACTGGAAGCCCACAGGGCCAGCACCTCTGAGGCAAACCCCCCATCCTCCTCTCAAATTGCCATGCAGGAGGTAACAGACCACACATCCTATTCCCCACCCACTCCGAGCTGCCTGCTGAGCTCATCACCATGATGGAAAGGCTCAGGGGGCACTCACCCCTGCACCAGGGAAACCTCTGTCGGGTACCTGCTGGGCTCCCGGAGTGGCACTGAGCTTTGGTCTGCAAAGTTCAGCTTTCGACGGCACCAGGGTGCTTGAAGCTGAGCTCATTCATACTCCAAGCAGGAAAACTCTTCAGGCCTTCTGCTTCCTTCTTGAAGAAGCCTGGCCAGAGAGACCGGACAGCTGCCTGCGAGGCAGGTGCGTGACAGGATCCCCAGGCAGCCAGGCCAGGAAGCTGATCTCACAGGACTGGCCACGTGAGGATTCTGGGAGCACACGCAGAGCTGCTCAAGCTGGAAATCAGGCTTCATGAGCCCTGGCTGCTTATGGCAGGATGTCTCGTGATTGGAACAAGAGGCACAGGACAGCGACACACATCTGTGCAGCCAAAGTGGCCCCAGGACACTGCCCTGGCAGGATGAGCTGAGAACACGGGGTCTGTGCTGACCACCACGGACTTCCTTCCTGCACCTCTCAGCACGTGAGTACATGTCCACACAGTCCTACGTCCCCTCACAAGGCCGCCACGCTTTATGGTTGGCAGAGTTTTCACATCTGCTAGCTGCCTTGAAGCTGACAAATGCCTGTCAAAGGGGTGGGGGGGGTGCATTTGTGAGAAATATGGAGAAACAGAGGTCCAGAGAGAGGAAACGGAGGCACTGCTTGGCAGCTGGACTCATGCCTTCTTCCTCAGACTCCTGAACAGCGCTAGGAAGAGGGCCTGCACATAGTAGGCGCTCAATTAGTGCATGAGGAAAGACCAAGTGAAAGTAAAGGTCAAGTCCAATGTTATTTCCACCTCCCATATGAGCCTCTGGACCTCCAAGGCTGCATCCAAACCAAAATGTCCCTCCAAATGTTTGCTCTGATCCCAGCTTGTCCCTAACTCTTTATTAAGCGAGTAAGGCATGGGGAAGCGCTCGCTCCGGTCACCTTACACCCAACAGTGATACATTCATCCAATACCCACTGAGCGCCTCACCAAGTTTTTGAGGTAATTATCATATTTCATCCTCAAGACACTCATAAGAGAAGGTATACTTCTCCCACAATACACCCAGGAAACTGACTCGCCAGACCTGAATCCAAGTAGTTGGAATCCAGAGAACCAGCTCATAGCCCTCAGGTTGCCTTCAGGAGAAAATCTGCATGGAAAGTGGCTGAGCGAGGCTCGATTTTCCCTGTCCTCCAAAAGCTAAGGCCCTCATCTAAAACTGCAGCCCTTCACGTAAACCAGGGCAACACGGTCTTTCACCAAAAGGAAAAGGTGTCTCTCTCTCTCTCTCTCATTCACTCTGCTTGGCTGGACCACAGCTGAAAGCAAACTTCCCCAGAAGCGTTGCAGGAGCTCCCAAGGCCAGGAGACACCGATAACTTGAAGAGCTCTTTGGGCTGGTGGCATGGCCATTTTATGATTCACTCTACAAATATTTACTTAGGACCTAGTCTATGTCACTGGTGAGAATCCACTGGTGAACAAAACAGACAAAATCCCTGCCCTCCTAAAACCTGTATTTTAGAGAGGGCTATAAATAATAAATAGGCGAAATATATACATAGGTTTTAGATGCTGATTAGTTGCTAAGGAGAAAAATAAAGCAGAGAAGGAAGATAGGAAGTACAAGGTCTGACAATTAAGTTTGCGACGTTGCAACGATGCTGCTAACCTTTTTTGATATCAGAGGGATTATTCATGATGAATTTGTACCAACTGGACAAACAGTTCACCAAATTTACTCTCTGGAAGTGCTGAAAAGGCTGCATGAAAAGGTTAGACGACCTGAACTTTTCGCCAATAATTCATGGCTCTTGCATCACGACAATGCACCAGCTCATATGGCACTGTCTGTGAGGGAGTTTTTAGCCAGTAAACAAATAACTGTACTGGAACACCCTCCCTA